CCGTATTTCCTTAGCTTGCCTGAGAAAATGTTGTGGGAGACCTTGATTAGCAAGGCTTTTGATAAGGTATACCACATCCACTGGTCTCCCCTCATCCACAGAGCCAGTCATCTCATCATAAAAGCCAGCAGGGGTGGTCAGGCATGACTTGCCCTTGGTGGCTCCATGCTGACTGTTCCTAATCGCTGCCTTCTCCTCCAAGTGCTTAGAAATGGGTTCCTTGAGCATCTGCTCTATGATTTTTCCAGATGCTGAGCTGAGGCTGACTGCTCTGTACTTCCATGGATCCTCCTTTTCCACCCCCTTTCTTAAATACAGGCACTATGTTTGCCTCTTTTCCAATCTTTCAGGATCTCTCCTGATCACGATGAGTTTTCAAAGATGATGGCCAGCAACTCTACAATCACATCAGCCAACTCCCTCAGCACCCTAGGCTGTATCCCATGTGGCCCTATGGACTTTTATACGTCCATCTTTTCTAAATAGTCCCCAACTTGTTCTTTCACCACTACTGGCTGCTCCCCTCCTCCCCACATAGTGCTGCCCTGCACAGTAGTCTGGGAGCTGACCACTGCAGCTGTGAAGACCGAGGTGAACAAGGCATTGAGCACTTCAGCCTTTTCAGCATCCTCTGGCACTCGGTTGCCTCCTAGTCTGCGAAAGACGCATCCACTAGGTTGCTTCCCAGCTTACAGGTCTGTGAAAGATGCATCCACCTCTGAAGTACTCTGAGATATGGGAGCCATGTAGAGCACAGTTATTATTCCTCCTCTGAGGGATACTGAGAGCAGAGTCCTGCACTCCGCACTTCTGCTGAAAACACAATACCATTTGCTGTCTGCCTTTTCAAACCATGCCTCAGTTGCAAACCCACCAGTGCTGCAATGCCGTAGCCATTCTTCCGCTCTCCCAGCATCAATCCACTCCAATCCCTGCATGGTACACCAGGGCTTAGCTCAGACAAGAGAGAGAAGTGGTTCAAGACGTACTCTATTGTTACCAAGAGTTTATTTGCATTCAGGAACTGTCTCTGCCATACAAGTCACTCATGAAGCTGCGGGAAAATCCACAGATGCAGGGTCTTAGATACAAGTGTCTTCTTTAGTTAATGCATTCTGCGAGTCAGCGTCTTGGGCTGAGACTAGTCCTTGGGTAGAAACACAGCCAAGAGCAAAATGCAGCTAAGAGCTGGTGCCCACTGTTGAAACCAGGGTCTAAGTAAACTGTCAAAGTCAGAAGTACAAAGTCTTTGGCAGATTCAAGAGCAGAACCCACAACCCCCGACCTGTACTCAAGACATTGGACTAGAAAAAGGTACTTGCCCATCTTCACTAGATTTTAAATGGAGAATTAACAAATTCCTAGTTGGCACCTTTGTGAAGTCTGGCCTGGATACCCCAGACACCTTCATTCCTGGCTACAAACATCTGTAGTTAAGTCGAGGTTACCTGCTCGCATTGTCTAGTCTACTGGTTAACAACTTATTCTGTCTATACTAAGTCCTGGTTTTCGCTGCTGAACTTCTTCAGCACTTTTTTTAATCCCCAGGTAATTAATGCATAGGCTACATCTCTACATCAACCATCATGAGTTCAAGGCACTTTTGTTATACTGTGAAGTAAACTAAGCAAGACCAGCACTATGCCCTGGCCTGTGGTTGACTGTGCTCAGTTAGCCTCATGGTAAGACTAAGGGATCTTGGTCTCACCAGGTTTTTCTTCAGGGAGAAGATGTGCATGTTAGGAAAGCCAAGGTTAAAAAAAAAAAAAGCACCTTAGCAATCAAGGCAAGGGCTACAATTTTAAAACACACCTCCCCGCAACCCTGGTATAGGTGTAACATTAGAAGGTTCCCAGCATCTACGTACAAATCTGGGTACTTTATAATTTTTTTTAAAACACATGCACACGTGGACAACCCTCCCCCCCGCAATGCCTAGCACCTTCTCAGGACCCCTGTGCATCAATAGCAAGCCCCGAAATATTAACACTATCTCCACTCCTCAGCACCCAAGACAGCTGCACCCCCCAACTTCTTGGCTTACCCTAGGGAAAATGCAAGAGTCAGCACCAGGCCCATGCTGCAGGCAGGTTTTAAAGCCAATTAGAAGAGCTGGCTGAATTGTCCTGGAGGCCTCTTTCCACAAGCAACACAGGCCGCTTCAGTGCCAGCTTTTCTCCCGGTGCCCAGCCAGCTGCTTCAGCCCAGGTCAGAAGGGGCCCATCTGCAGGAGAAAGTGCTCAGCTGCCAGTTCTCACTTGGTCCATTTTCACTGCAGGGCCAGGCTGGGATCTGCCAAACATGCTGTCCTCGAGCCACAAAAAAACCCACCAAATTTTGCAAGGTTTGAGCCAATGTGGGTTGAGGGTGGCCATAAGACCCAGATTGTTCCTCCTGTCTGCTGCAGGCTTCCCAGCACATTCCTGTACAGCACCTGGTGCTGGCCAGCATCTGTACTGGACACAGCGCAAGTCTGACCCAGTTTGGCAGTTCCCATGATAGTGCCCTTTAGCCCTCACCAGGTTGGGCTGGATTCACACTGGTAAGCAAGAATTAGCAACATTAATGCCAACACACAGCTTCCCTCCAGTGATCTCAGTGTGTTACAAACGAGAGCAGTGTCATTAACTCCATTTTACAGATAGGGAAACCGAGGCACAGAGGGGCTAAGTGACTTGCCCAAAGTCACACAGCTGGGAAGAGACCTCCAACCTCCCAAGTCCTAGCCTCACACCCTATCAGCTGTGCGCCACACTGTGGGAAGGCTCCATAGCCCATTACCTGCCTACTGATTTGTGGGGTCCCCCCAGCAAGAATCTTATTTTGCATTTTTGAGCGAGGAAAGAAACAAGCTCCAGGGCTCTGACTGCTCCCAAAAGTTGGAGGGACGCAGCCAGAAACTTCCATGGCAAACGAGGCGGTGAAAATGCAGCCTGACAGAGAGCAAAGTGGCAGAGACGAGCCTGCCCATCTGGGTGCCAGCGCGACTGTATCACTCATTACTTCGGGAGAGCGGGGGAGTTGGAAGCGGCACTTCGTCTGCAAGAAAACAGGCTGGCGGCTGATTAAACTGAAATGCTGCTGAGAGGAGAGACCTCTGTGCCACTCACATGCAAAAGAGAAAGCAAAGCTCTGGCTGGAACAAACAACCTAATTCGGCACTTCCCACCCCCACCACATTTCCAGCGGGTCGGGCAGGGTGGGAGTCTTCACTGTGCAGTCATTTATACCTGTGCAAAGTGGCTGTGAAACCCCAAGGAGAGAGGCAGCGTGATCTGATGAGGTGGGAGCTGGGGGACCCGTGTTCTGTTCCCACCTTTGTCGCCGAGTCCCTGCAACATGTTGGGCAAATTAAGTTCCCTCTGTTGCTTTTCCTGCCTTGACTATTTACAACACAACTCTCGGTTGATAAATGCTTACGCAGCACAGCAAAGCCCAGCCCTTGCTCGGGGCCTCCAGGCACCACTATTACCAATAACAGCCAACCCAAATGACAGCATTTTATGCCTGGTTTGCATGGGTATAAGTCAGTGCATAGGTGGAATCAGGCCCTTGCTGCCAACTCCAGAGCTCATCTCCCCTACTGGGCTCACGTGCCTTGGCACCACTCACCTGCCGCTCAGCTGGACCCACTTCCCAACCCACCCTTACATCTCAACACCAAGGCTGTAAAACTAATCTGCTCCCCAGCACCCTAGCTTCAGTCTGGCAGCTGGGTTACAGAGACCCCAGCCTGCCCCTTCCCAGGGACTGTGAGAGGCATCCTCTTCTGTGAGCACGAGGCTTTTCTGATCCAACACCGCTGCTGCCCTGGGCTCATGGCTGGGGTGCGCGAGCCTCTGCAGTACCCACTACCCTTGCTCCAGCATCCTCCCCCAGCTGTAACAGGGGAATTACTCTCTACCCCAGGGCACATCGTTATCTGCACCCCAGCATGGCTGAGAGAACAGCCACAAGTCCAGGCCGCACCCAGACTGCTCCCCACCGCACTCTGCCAGGCAGGGGGAGAGAGGGTCCCACTCACTGGGTTCCTCCTGGACAAAGCCCCCAAGCCTCACCTGCAAGGGTTTTGCAATGCCCACAGGAGAGATGGCTGCCCCCGTGCTTCTGACAGCCGCTGGGGCTGCAGAGGGAATGCCCCTCGTGCTGAGCCACCTCTGGGGCCACAGAGGTGCAGACCCTAGGGCAGGGCCCTGACCCAGCTCCCCCATTAGCACGGACAGGCCTCACAGACCCCTTCCCTTTGTGAGGTCCCAGCATAATGCACCCAGCCCCCTACCTGGGTGCTCCCACGGGTCCTTCTGTACCCCAGCATAGCCCAGGACAGCTGCACTTGGGAACTGGGGGCTCCAGCCCAGCAAGGCAAGGGCCTGAGGGAGCTGTTCCCAGCTGCACCCTATTAAAGCTGCAGCCCAGGGTGAGACAGCTGAGTGCCCAGGCACCTCCCAGACACAGGTGCAATGCCTGCCCCCAGGCGAGCCCTGGGCTCCCACAACACCAGCAGAGACTTTGGGGCCAGCCCCCCCTCCCAGGGCCTGACTATCTTGGGCATGGGGTCTCTCCAGACTGCCCTGAAATCCTGGCTCTGAGATCCCAGTAAAACCCAGTGTGGAGCCCCTGGGAAGAGTCCTTCTAATCCTGGGCAGGGGCTTGGACTGTAAAACCCAGCATGGGGGGTGGTGGGATGGAGAAGGGAGAGGCCTTTTCATGGTTGCCCTCAAATCCAGGGGGGCTTTTCCCCAGAATATTTCAGCTCAGGGCACCTGAGATCCCAGCAACACCAACTCCCCCACGGCAGTGCCCACCTGAGACTCCCACCCAGGCTCCTCACAGCAGCGCTCAGGCAGGGCGAGCGCTGGGTTTCCCCATGGGGGAGGTACCTTGGCTGTCTGGCATGTCCCTTTCTCCTTCGCTCACCCCCTGCCCCTCAATGAACGTGTCGGGAGGCCTGGTGGTGCATGCATGTGGCTCCTGGAGGCACAAAGAAGCAGACACACACCCCCGGGGCGCCTCTCAGCCATGCTTTATTGGTGAATGGAGTAATAAACAACCATAGCTCGATTCATTCAAGGAAAACAGACACTACCGACTTGTGGATGGCATTTACAATGTAGGCACAGTTCATGTATTCTGCAGGGGCTGGGGAGAGCCTGAGGGGGCCTGGGGCTGGGTCCAGCGCGCTGGTGTTAGCAGGAAGTGAAGGTTTTCCAGAAGAAGTTTTTGCAGGGGGCTTTGCGGTCCCGCTGCGATAGCTGGGCTAGCCGCCCCAAGGTCGACCGCTCCTCCTCCAGTTTGCCCTCCAGGGGCTCCTCAAAGTCAGTGGAAGTGGCATCCCGGCCCACATCCATGTCATCCAGCAGGCCCACCAGCATCTTCAGGATCATGTCCTTCCGGGCTTTGGTCTGTTCCTGCAAGCAAAGAGCACCAGGAAGGTGAGACCTTCCCCTCAGATCCCTCTGCAGGTCTCAGCCTGGCCCTCCCCCATCCCCATCAGAGTTTCGAGGCTGAGGCAGTCTAGCTGAGATAAAGACCACCCAGTCCTTCACAGTTAGGGCGGCTAGGAGCTGGAACCAACTTCCAAGGGAAGTGGTGCTGGCCCCTACCCTGGGGGTCTTTAAGAAGAGGCTGGATGCCTACCTGGCTGGACTCATTTG